TTTTAACATCACAATTAAAATTTCTTAATAATGAATTAAGATTTCCTTTAACAACGATGTTTAGAGGTTTAATTTCGGATTATAATAGAAGAAAGTCATCCAAGCGTAGTACTGACGAGGGTCTGTTATCCTTAATTATCTTATAATAATCAAACCGTGTTTTATAAATAGGTTTTATCCTTGTTCATTAGCAAAACAGTGGTTGATTGTGAATAAAATTTTTTAATAGTTGTAATGAGGGTAGGCATTATAATTAGATTAATTGCTGATTTCAAACCTGAAACTTCTTAGTACTGCTATCATAAAAATTAGTTGGCCGTTAACTTAAATACTGTTATAGTGTAATTAAATTTGAAATAATATTGAATGAATGAACGAATGAGTATAATATAGAAAAAAAAACAAGACAGCATTTGAAACTGAACAATTTGCTACACAAATAATAGTAAAAATTTGAAAAAAATTCTACCTCTCATACTATATCGATCAATGTGAATGTGTGACGTCCTTGTATGAAAATTTCAGTAATTTGAGATTTCAATGAGAATTCGGGGAATATTGTTGAGTTAGAATGCTATTTTTCTGATTTTGTCTTGGTAATAAATACTATATCATATAATAATTAAATCGAGGGATGGGCAGCAGCGTATATTTTTAAGTGGCTAACTGCGGCTGCCAACCCGCCAGCCAAACGTGATAGCTACAAAACCTTCCAAGGGGGAGGCCTATGTTCAGAAGTGTATAGTTAATGGCTGATATGACAATGATGAATACGATTTACGACTCTATGCTCTAATACAAAATAACTAAATCCTAAAATTGAACACTGAACTTTAGAATGTCTTTTTATATATGCATTTAATTTCCTCTAGTGTGCTATAACATCATTCCGGCATTAATGCATAATGTTAAAATTTAGGAGACACTAAAAGATTGTGTCCAGGATAATAATATTCCCAGAGTGCACTCGTAAAATAGAGCGAAGTGTCGCAAGTGGTTGCGACTAGTTACGTTTCAACGCCTTACAATTATGCGGTTACATTTATAGAAGTTGTCAAGGTGGAACAACCATAGTGTAATTTGAATAAACAACTAGAAATATCTAGCTTTGTGTACTTCTAGATGTTTCTTATTTCTAATGAACTCTTTCTTAAATGGACTGTACTAGAGCGAGACTTTTTTGACGTCTGCTTGGGTACCTCTGTTCCACTCTTATATCAGTCATACGCATGCAGCTGTATCTAAGTGGCTGTGTTTCATTTTGAAGGGTTTTTTTAATTAATAATTAATAAACCCCGCTTACGCGGGGGGAAAGGGATTGTTAGTAATGGAGACTGGGAATCCTATTGCTAGCAATATACCCAACCAGGTCGACCTCCTCGTGGTTCTCCCTGGAAACTATGGTTATGGAACTCATGGTTAATTCCTGATGAATTCATCATGATGGGTTAACTGGCCTGTTTTTATTCTTATCTATTACCCTTCACTGGTGCTCCGCCAGCGTATCCCGTTAGCGCAGGCGAGGTTACCATACCATTTTCACCCATCAAAAAAAAAATCCGCGCTTGCGCTAACAGTATACGCTGGCGATGCGCTAGTGAGGTATAATAGATGAGAATGAAATGCAGGCCAGTTCACCCATCGTGATAAATACTCCGAAAAGTCAACACGATGGTTTTCAGGAGGAACTACGAGGAGGACGTCCTGACAGGGTATATTGCTAGTAATGGGACTGGTAGTCCGCATTACTAACAATCCCTTCCCCCTTACGTAGTATTTGACGTAAAGAAATACATAAACTCATTTTTATCCCGGCCAACCGCCATGAATAGGACACACGAGAGACTTTGTACAAAAGTCGTTTGCTTGGGTACCTCTGTCCCATTCGTGTTTCAACCGTAAAGCAGTGTGTTTGCATGGCTGTGTTTCAGTTTGAAGGGTGGGATATGGCGTGAATTTACTGGGTACAGAGGAATAACACCTGAGTCCTCAGGAATGGCAACGCATAGGGGGTATCATTGGCGAAACAGTATACTCTGTTATGTCCATGGTACCACTCATATCAGCTTATTTGCCATTCTAAGTTGTATAAAAAAAACACGGACAAAGTGGTGAGATAGGCAGTAGAGTAATAAACTGGAGTGTAATTTACTATGGTTTTAGTAAATGCGTTTCACCTGTTAACGTTAAATTAATATTAATCGCAACCTATTACCCGCGGGTTAGATAACGATGAAGTGTAATTATTACAAATGGGTTCTTAACGCCTTTTTTGTTCGTTCCCAGAGGGAGTTGGATACTTGAGACTTATTCGAGTAATTGTTTTTTCTACATTTTAGGCAACAGTTGAAAAATAAACTGCTATATTTTCATCTCCATATTTAATGGCTATTCCCTCAATAATTAATGTTTAAAAGCCTTTCTTTATATGTTTTTTTTGATGAGTGATAATTTTTTTTTATACAACTTAGAATGGCAAACAAGCTGACGGCCCACCTGATGGAAAGTGGTAACCGTCGCCTATAGACATGAGCAGTACCATGGACATAACAGAGTATGCTGTTTCGCCCAAGATACCCCACATGCGTTGCCATTCCTGAGGACTCAGGTGTTATTCCTCTGTACCCAGTAAATTCATGCCATATCCCACATCTTCAAACCGAAACACAGCCATGCAAACACAACTGCTTCACGGTAGAAACACGAATGGGACAGAGATACCCAAGCAATCGACTTTTATACAAAGTCTTCCTCTGGTAATGAAATGATAATCTCGCCTGCGCTATCGGTATACGCTGGCGGGGCACCAGTGAGAGATGATAGGTGACTATGTAACCAGGTCAGCCCATCGTGATGAATTCCACAAAAATTAACCACGACGGTTTCCAGGGGGAACCACGTGATAGTCGACCTGATAGGATGTATTGCTACCAATGGGGCAATTAGACCCCATTATTACCAAACCCCTTCATTCCTTTTTTATATGGGTTGATAATAGAATATTAAATTCGTTAAATAACAGTAAACATACCGGTGATATTTTGAATCAGTCAATACTTTAAGCAGGCGTTTTTAGAGTTAATAATTTATTTAGAAACTTCAGTAGTTTCTTCGAAGTTCAAAACATTAAATATTACGTTTAAACTGATCATACTATTACTGATATGAAGTTATTAAGTGCTCGATGTTTCTTATAATTTTTTCTGTATTTAATTACTATAAAATATACTCAATTTTTTTTTTAAGTGTAGCTTATGATATACGCGATATAAAGCTATACGCTTACGGTGAACTGTGCTATTTAGAACTATGTCTATGGTGGTGAAGTACTAAGATTTACTTAACATGGCTTGTTGATTCAGTCCAAAAAAATATGATGGGCTGTCTATGATGAGTCTACCTAATATATCAGATAATATTTTAAATACACTATTGGGACTTAACATAACGAAAATTGCAGGTAAATAGTATTCTTTATTCTTTATTGCACTTGTAAGTTACATATAAAATAATGTATTTAAAAATAGTGTGAGCAAGGGTGGACTTATCTCTGACAGAGATCTATTCCAGTCAACCCAGTAGAGTAAGAAAGCATTTCGTTAGCGGACAGCTGAAGTGCTACAGTACCTACATCCCTGATTTTTATTACCGATGATTCGACGTGTATTGCATGACGTCACGGTGCAATTTTCGTCGTATTAATTAATTCTTGATAGTGTATTAAAAAATATGTTAACAACGCGAAAGTGTAAAATAAACTATCTCAGATTATAATGAAATCCCATGAGATGTTGAGAATGGATATTGGTACATTCTTATATCTATATTTAAGTTTTTTTTATGCAACTTAGGACAAGCTTATGCATTTCTATTTCCGAGGAGTAAGATGTTACATCTCCGTACTTTGTAATTTTACAGTCATATGCCTCTCTCCCATCTCATTTAAAATAAAAAAAGAGCTATTGAAAGTACAATTGCTTCACAGCTGAAACACGAGTGAGTGGTTGCAAGTAAGTAAACATTTTTTGTACATATAATTATGCAAGAAAAAAAGTGAAAAGTGGTAACCGTCGCCTATAGATATGAGCAGTACCATGGACATAACAGAGTATACTGTTTCGCCCATGATACCCCCCATGCATTGCCATTCCTAAAGACTCAGGTGTTATTCCTCCGTTCCCAGTAAATTCACGCCATATCCCACCCTTCAAACCGAAACACAACCATGCAAACACAACTGCTTTACGGTTAAAACACGAATGGGACAGAGATACTCAAGCAATCGACTTTTGTACAATATTTCCCTCTGGTAAAAAAAAAAAACAAAAAACTACTACAATTGTGATAAAACCAGTTATTTCGATCTAAAAATTAAACTACCAAACCAATTTTAATAAAATTTTTATAGGCTCAATCTTCTATAACCATAATGGTTTACAATTGATGGATTTATGAGATAACAAATATAAAAAACAACCGAATTGAGAATCTCCTTTTTAAAGTCGGTTAAAAAGTAATAAAAGCCGGAATAATATTTTTTTATAATTTTTGTCTGTCCACCTGTTTGATTTTTCCGGCATCACGCAAATACGCAGCAAATTTGATGTGTTCTACTTAAAAATGTAGTATGTTTTATCTTGATACGTCATCTACTCGCATTTAGTCTATATATCTAGTAGACTATTCAGCCCCATATTATGTTAGAATTGAAATTATTCACTATTAATAACAGCAATTCAATATCATGGTTAAAAAATCTTGGTAACTATGTCAAAATATTGATCCGATTTTAATACGGTTGTCTATATTTAAAAGCACGGAAAGTTTGCATTGCCCTGAGGTGCATCATTAATGCAGTTGTTCATAGTTTAAGGTAAATTGCTCTCATGTTCCAAACATATTTGAATTTAATTTCAATTAAATATGTGCCTATATGAATAACACTAAGGAATAACTATTACAACGCTTCTTTTAATAATGTAAAATACAAAGTTACTCACTTGTAATTTGTTCATCATCTATTTGAGTTGTCTGTAACACAAAATTTCTAATTAGAAAAATTCAATCAAATATTTTAAAGAAAACACATTAGAATTCAATAAAACAAATTACGCACCATTTTGTTAATTTTTCAATATTCAAATTTAAAATTCGAATTGAGTTAGGAATATGAAAAGCGCGGGATAATCAAAATATGCACGCGCACCGAACAGGCGAACGAACTGGCCACTTCTAAATTCGTTTAAAATTTGAACTGCAACCTGGAGTAGTAAGTACTGGCAGGTACTATAGATAATACAGTGAGCAGCAGTACTATGCTTGCAGAAGCGATACAATAATGAAAGTATTTTCTTGTTTGTATCTTCACTTTGTTAATTGAATCATTTTGTTTTTATTTTTTATTAAAGAAAAACCAACAGCTAGAAAAATTCATAATAAAAAAAGAAATATCAAAGACGAAAAGCTAATTACAGGTTTTTACAAATAAAAACAATATTTAACTAATACACATGATATCAGTCTAATACTTATAATATATTATGCTTTTAAGGTATCGCTGTGTTTGTAAAGATGATTAGTGAATTCACTACTGTCTTAAAAACTAATATGTTATGAAAATTATAGCATAAACATTAAAACTCATGTTAGTTAAAAAAAAATAGACAGAATTGATTTTTTTTTTCTAATATTATATGTGGAATTTTTGTAAGATATTTTTATTTTAATGGGTGATAATGGAATGGTAACCCCGCCTGCGCTATCGGTATACACCGACGGGGCACCAGTGAAGGATGATAGATGAGGATGAAGCAGGTCAGTTAGCCCATTGTGACGAATTCAACAAGAATTGTTCACGATGGTTTCCAGGGGGAATCACGTGGAGGTCGACCTGATAGTGTATTGCTAGCAATAGGTTCATTAGACCCCATTACTAACAATCCCTTCCCTCTTTTGTAAGATATTTGGATATTTATTCTCAAACATGTTTAGGGTGAATAAATTTAAATGAAATTTGGTTCACTTGTAGACTAGGATTAAAAAAACATAAGTAAATTTTAAACGAAATTTGAGGAAACAAAGTCGTTAGATACTCAAATTAATCTAGGTATAAATCATACTATATTGGCTAAATGGCTTTAAAAAATTAAAAATTGTCCATATAAATATGTCAGCTAGGATTAATTCATAAGATCTTAAATAATCCGGGGCACACCACAAGTAAAGGCTAGTCCTAAATAAAAACAATCCATTGTTAACCTAAACAATTACTTGTTAACAAAACCCCAGATACTACTGTCAGCAGTCATAATCAGACCAAACCGGCCGTTGAAACTTGGCAACTTCAACTGAAGTGACTGTAATGTGACACATTTCAAACAAACTTTCTCATCCAGTTGATACTTAAGCGTTCAAGTTTGACGTGACGCTGTTAATTTATGCATAGAGTAGGCAGAAATGCGACATTGAACTATATAATAAATAGATTGTACACAATAATTAACTTCTGTTGCTATCCGCGTCTTGAGCTTTCACCACAGCCCGGAAATTTCATGCAAAACTGTGAATTTCATATACACACGTCTACTATAAATAATGTATTTTATTACATTATATACATATAGTTTTTATTTATGGATAATGGAACGCCATTGTAAAGTCATTGCTAACGACCACATTGTCATGCTTTAGATTATGTGGCGATTACGCTGTGTAACTGACTGTAAAGTTTCTAACTGGCTTTTTTAACCAGTTATTTTAGTGATCTGAAATATTGGGAGTAGTAGGAAGGAAGTATAGAGTAAACAATAACGTTTTCACTCCTTTTTCACAAAAATTTAGTTTTGTGACTCCTTGATAAGACATACCCCCCCAAACCATCACTGACGCAGAATGATGACCACGTTGTACCTTTCCAATCACATGAGCAGCTTCTTTAGGACTGTGAGCGTATACTTTATCATTTTGCTTATTGTAGTATTCTTTATTCGTGAAAATTTTTTCATCGGTAAAGAGGATACTTCTGTGCCTTTCATCTGCGTTTCGCCACAGAAGGCATTTTGATCGATCCACTCTCTTTAATTGTAAAGATTGATTTAGGGCATGTCCTGTACATTAACGATAAGCACAGAGCTTCAGGTCTTGTTTTATAATACGTGACAGAGTCTTAGCGGAAATCTTTATTTCTCGCGATAAGATTTTTTACTTCCTAATGGGGTTTTGACGAATTCTGGCTTTAACAACATTGACAGCTTTTGTAGTTCTAACAGCACGCGGCAGCCCCGATCTTTTCTGGTCTTCTACAGAGGGAGTGTTATTGTATCTGTTGATAAAACGATATACGAACATACGGCTACTACCAAGATTTTGAAGTGTCTGGAATATGACTGACGGCTCCATTCCCACTTTATGCAAGGCGGTGACTGCAATCCTATTTTATTTAACACCCCATTCCATATTGTAATTTGATAATGAACACGAAAAAATATGTGAAATGGTGCGAAGTCGAAAGAAGTTTTAAAATAATAAACGTGTTCCAAATTCAAAATAACTAAAAAATTGAAAAAATAAAAGTTTTTATGTAACAGTATTTACGGCCAGACTAGTTATATACATAATAACAAAACAAATTCTCTTTCACAATTATAATAATAGTAAGAATAATCCATAGACTTAGTATAATGTCCTACGTTCATAATCTAAGGAATCACCCACCTGTGGTAACCACCTATGAACATGAATAATACCATAGACAATGTAATCTATTATGTGACTCGCGTGTTGCCATGCCACCCGTATTATGTTCACCTCTGGTGTCAGAATGTGTGATTACACTATTTATATTGTTACTAGCTTTTATCCACGTCTTCGTCCGTGTGACCAAGATATATTCACTGGGAGGATAAAAAATAGCCTATGTCCTTTATCCCATATAGTACCTATACCAAATTTCATGGTATTCATTTATTTACATTTTATTGACAAAAATAATAAATATAGTTAATTTTATTGAGAAGTGATACCAAAGACAACTTTTGGCCAGAGGACACTGAAAAAAAGACAAAGTGTAGGTGGCGCACTATTATATATATGGATATTAATATAGATATTAAAATATAAATTTATACATACATATATAAACACAAACATATATGTGTGTGTATATATATATATATATATATATATATATATATATATATATATATATATATATATATATATACACATATAAACATACTTTATTAAGTCTCCTTTTGTATATGTGTACTACGACACATATACAAAAGGAGAGAATGAGTACGTATTGGCTAAGCGCTAGGACGTAACAAATAAATAAACTCACTTTCGTATATTTATAATATTAGTAAGGACAGTTAAAACGAAAAAAAAAACATAAGCTTGTTGCTACTTCACAGCAGAAATTAACAATATAGTATTAATAGGAAAATATCGTATGAATATAAGAATAAATAATCGAGTAAAAGTAACATTCATCGTATCATCTTTGGGCCTTTAAGTGCCCACTGCTGAACATAAGCCTCCCCCCTTGGGGGGTTTTGCCAGTAGTTGCCATATTTGGCAGCCGCAGTTAGGCTTTGGAGATGTTTTAAGAGGGACGTTGCTGCTCATACTTCGCTCTGCTTTAGTCACCTCTTACGACACTCACGGGAAAGGAAGGGGGGGGGGGCTATTCTATGCGGGGACCACATGGAACAAAAGTAACTTTATGTTATTGTAAATCCTTAGTATGAAGAATACTTTACATTGGATATATGAAAATGATTTAAAATACAATAACTCTTTTACTCACCTTCGAGAAGCTGACAGGAATGAGAAGACTGGTGGAGGAATGTTCTAGCACTACTATATTGTATAATTACTGCATAAATAACTAATTTTCATGTAGTAGTTCCATGAAGAGGTCTGCGTGGGGTAACTTCTAAAAGGCGGCGGGGGTAGGAGAGTATCGAATTGCCATACATTCGTCCGGTAACTGGCAAAAGTTTACGTATGTATTAATACTTTTGAAATGGTCGAATTTTATTATTTTAGTACTTTATTACTTTGGACATTTTTGGTTATCGAATTTAGTTTTTTTTTTTTATAAAAAAATATATTAAAATATCCATTTAATGCAAATAAGTAAATTGAATTGAAAGGAAAAAGAAGGATAGGAAATAAACTGAACAACATCTGTCGAGTGAGCCAGTTAGGAAATAAAGATTGTACCGCTATGCGAAATTGAATGAATTCCGTTCATTACGGGCCACGTGAAAAATTGACGTAACTTCATTTTTCATCTTTTCCCCCGGGAACGACTAATGGCCCGTGGAACACTAGATTTATCGAAGTCTTTTTTCTCGATGAATAACGCTATCCGGTGCTCCCGATGCTTTTTTAATGTTCCCGATTTTTAGAATTAAAATTTCTAAATTACTTTTGCGATGTAAATTACTACCAGAGGGAGACTTGGTACAAAAGTCGATTGCTTGGGTACCTCTGTTCCATTCGTGTTTCTACCGTGAAGTAGTTGTGTTTGCATGTCTGTGTTTCGGTTTGAAGGGTGGGATATGGCGTGAATTTACAGGTACAGAGGAATAATACCTGAGTCCTCAGGAATGGCAACGCATGGGGAGTATAATGGCCGAAACTGTATACTCTGTTATGTCCATGGTACTGCTCATGTCTATAGGCGACGGTTACCACTTTCCATCAGGTCGGCCGTCAGCTTGTTTGCCATTCTTTGTTGTATAAAAAAAAAATACAGGGGTACCAACATTAGATTTTTAATGACTTCAAGAAGGAACACATTGCTCATTTTAATATGTACTACTAGATGACTTAGTAAAGATTAATACGAGACTATATTTATAAAAACTGTAACGTCATACAAATCTTATTTAGCTATTGAATTGTTTTGTCAGTGTCTTTGTGATTACTGTAATAAATTATATATGTATTAAATGACAATTGATAAGAAATATAACGAGACTATATGTAAATTTCTGATATTGTTAATAATTTGCACGCCGAGGCAAAATGTGTACGGAAAATGTAAACCTTTTTCATCTGAAACTACTAATGTTCTAGCAAAATAAATTCATTTCATTTCATTTCAAATTGAGAATCAGCGCAAAAGAAATGGATAAAACACTTTAATAGCTACAACAGGTTTATAAGAGGTTCTACGTTTTTATGAATAAGAGGGTACTTATACAGATCATTTATTTATAAGTTACAAAGTTATAGAAACTGTTAAAGTACATATGAGAAATTAATAAACTCACATATTAAATTCACAGTCTACGTTAAGTCCCTTAACGCGATGTAAAAGCCTTTACAGGCAAATAGTACCTACATACCTGCTTCTTTATTGCCGACGTTTCGACGTGGATTGATTGATTATGTATTTAAAATATATGTAAATAATGCGATAGTTTAAAGCGTAAATGAATTTATTGTGTTTTTATCGTTTTTGATAATTGTTCTCGACTGTGCGAGACGAGATGCTGTGACGCTGTGACGAAAGCGCTAAACGCTCCCTTAAGAAGACTTCCGGATGAAGTCGAAACATTTGTCGAAAACGTCAAAAATACAATGTCTATATACATTTCCCGTATGTATATAGACATCGAATAAGAATGAACGTAAGTTTTAAAAATAATACTGTAAAAACTGTTTTATTTTATAGATTTCTCAAAATAGAGATTAGAAAAGAAATAGGTACATTCCAAACTGTCATTCTAAATGCAACACTAGTAAGTATATATGATATAAATTTCCTCCTATATCGACTAGGAATATCAAGGAAATTGTAACAAGAGTCGACGTGTGTATTTTGGCACGGGATACACGGCATCGACATAGCGTTTGATGTATAAGCTTCTTGCAGGGCTGGCGTTAGCTAATATGATGCCCTGGGCAAGTTGGATCGACGCCCTCTTGACAATAAAAAAACAAAACAAACCTTTTGTAAAATGTTCACAGCGCTTGGCGTGTTTCTTATTAATGAATAAATGTTTTTTTCAAAGTAGGGATAAAAGATGTCTATATTTCGATTGGGCTCTTCATTTAGACATTGTACATTGAATAGTCGATATTTAATATATCCTTTATTGAGCTAATATATAGATCTTGTTAATCTATACTTACTCGTATAACAAATCTGTAGAGAGGTCAATTCTGTACATGAAATATATTTCCAAAATAACTAGGGGGTGATTAAAGATCGATACTAATGCCAAAAATGCAATCAATAAAATTTTTATCTGTCTATCTATATGTTCGTTATAGAAACAAAAACTACTCGACGGATTTTAACGAAACTTGGTACAATTATTCTTCATACTCCTGGGCAGGTTATAGTGTACATTCATCACGCTACGATCAATAAGTGCAGAGCAGTAAAGGGAAATGTGTCTGTTACATCAAAATCACAACCGTGAGGAAGGACATAAGCTACTTATTTTACGAAAAACGACGGAAACGCAGACGAAGTTGCGGGCAACAACTAGTACATATATTTATATATACTTTTAAATATGAGTGGGCAATTGTAATATTTAAAAATTTGTGATATAATATCTATTTACTGGTCCAATAACGAATATGTTAATATAAAAAATAATATTAGATAACAGACTTTTAACATATTCGAAAATAGATATCCAACCGATATGGGCTATATCGAAATAAGTGATGATCTTCTTCCGCCATCAATGTCCAGAAAAACCCAATATATAGGTATCGTCTTGGTATCCATACTAACCACGCCTACTTTTAAACTTAGGCCATACTATTACTTATACTGTATCTAGGCGCTCTAGAACTCAGCGTCCCCGGACGTCGACCGCCCTGAAGCCGTTACTGGCTTCTTGCGACATCTGACGATGGGCCATGTGGAGAATGTTTCGTTGAATGTATTAATTAAACTAGCTATTACCTGCGACATCGTCCACGTAACCAGGATATGCTCACTGACCGGGATAAAAAGTAGCCTTTGTCCTTCATCCGCATGTACGAGTAGTACGTGGATACCAAATTTCATAGTGATTAGTTAAGGCGATAACAAGTAGCAAACAAACACACTTTTATATTTATAATATGAATAAGGATTGCTCTAATAATCCTTATTAATATTAGTATGAAATTAATTTTTATTTTTTATTTTTAACGGCACAAAAACTTGGATGATATTTTATACGCTTAATGATGGCAAAACATAGCGTTCTATAAATGTGAAGTAATAATATATATTTAAACCTATGTTTATACAAATAAACTATTGATTGATTGATTGCTTGATGCATCGTTCCATCTTTATCCAATAAGGGTACATCTATTGTGCATGTAGCCATACAGAAATGCAAATATTATCCGGGGAGAAAATGCGGAAAAGTCCATCATGTGCGCAAGCCTTAATAAAATCTGAATATAGTTACATATTGTAACATATCTTTCTCGAGCATAATGTAAGCTTATTGTGGTATTGACAAAAAAAGCAAGTTTACGACGCCATCCTCTTATCTTCAGATTTATGGTTCGGGTCAAGGCGAAGTCAAGGTTCGAACTTTCATGATCCAGGCCAAGTTCGATTGCATGAGATAAACAAAGAGACGCCCAAATAAAGGGGACGATCCTGAATCAAATCACCGTTTTATGCATGACGATAATAGCGTTGAAGTGATTTGGAAGCTGCTTTACACGAGACGTTTGGTGGATTTCTTTTGATTTTCATCCGACTTTAAAAAGAAAGAGGTTCTTAATTCGCTCGTATTCTTATTTGAATTCACTATCAGGACTTAATGTGATTAAAATTTTTCCATGTAAAAATACATACCCGCTTTTTTATTGCCGACATTTCTAAATGAATTGGACCACGTCGTGACCACAAGTCATTTCGAATCATCGTATTCAAATATATTTTAACACCATAAAAATTTAAAATTAACAGTTGTATTCTATTTTAGGGTATTTTTGTTTTGTTTATAAATCAATTTCCATCGAGTTGGTAAAAATATTTTTTTAGTTTGAATATACTTACAGATTATCTATTATATATAATATAAATTTATAAATTATTGTATTGTTTAGAATCTTCATTGATAACGTTTTCGACACAATATGTACATATTATTATGAAATAAAATAAATAAAATGAAAAATGAAATGATTGGTCTCATAGAAGTTTTATTAAAGTCACAACAGTAACTAGTATTTTAATAAAAAGAAAAAATAGTTTTGCCACGATTTAATTATTAATAATTATTATTAATAATGACCTCAATGATGCGACCGCAATGATTTATGACACTGCTTGACCTTTCCATGGTTGCTGGTTCGATCTCCGCGCAATACAAAAATTTGTTTGTAACGGTTTGAGCATTTTCTATGCATTATGTAAAATGTTACACAAGTCAATATGATGATGATGATGGTATTTACTAATACGAGTAGAAATTATTGATATATACTCATATTAAATAAAATATATAAAAAAAAAACTTAATTAGCTTCCACAAAATTTATCTACACTAATATTATAAAGAGGAAAGATTTGTATTTTTGTGTGTATGTTTGTAATAAATAAACTCAAAAACTACTTTGCCAATTTCAAACATTCTTTCACCGTTAGAAAGCTGCATTTATCCTGAGTAACATAGGCTATATTTATTGTTAGAAAAGATTAGGGATCCTTACTAAAACTTCAATAACGTAACCCAAGGTATAAAAAATGCTATAAAACATCTTTTGTCGCGTGCGCTGCGGAAACTATTGGTGATAGAACAAAAGTATGTTCTACAATATTGAAGAAAATATCAATAACTACAAAAAACTTCGCAATACTATATGTCCAACTATTATCGTTATGTCACAATAACTACTTTTTAAAATGTTGTAAAAAATATCCGTCCACCCGTATGAAGTCGGGACGGGCCGCTAGTCTATAATAAATATATGTACTAGATCAAATTATAATCTTAGTGATTATAGTAATAAATCTGATGTTATCTTTTCACAGGCACGAAACAAACCGGCTGATGGCGGTGGGCACGTCAATCAGAAGAATGTTGCGGGACAAAAAGCCACACCACCCTGTCAAAAAGGTATATCTTATTAAGAACTTCATGGTCATAGACGGTCAAGCGGCTTAACCAAGCACGCGTATTTCGCTACTTAAGGCGGTTGGTTACTAAACAAAATTAGACACAAATAACTAGATGGCGCTAAAATCGCGATTTATGATTTTTGGTGATTATTTTATATTTAAGGATTATTTGAGGCAAAATTTCTAATTTGGCGAGCGGTTTTATTTCTTTTTCACCGATATAGTAATAATTTGTCGTAACTTTTGTCATTATTCTCTTATATTGTACAATTTTGTAAAAAAATAGAAACATTGCGATTGTGTGTATTATAATTCATTCTGGAAAAGGTCGCGTATTATCCATCACTTCACATTCATACATATTAATAAAAGCACTCACCAGTTTAGAAATTTTACTTCAAATTATATTTAATTACAAAATATTGATTATTTTTTAATTAAATAGAATTACAAATCTCCATTGCCCTTTAGAATTTCATGTCCAATTTTGTTTAGTGACTGACTGCCTTAAACTTTGTTGCTCAGACAAAGAACACTTACAGAATAAGTCTATCTTACAAGCAATTAAATATACGTGATTGATATAAGGTGCTTAACGGTTTAAATATTTCTTATACTATATTTTTGTTACCAATACGAGATAATAGTAACTGTACACTATTTTCTCAATAGATATTATTGCGTTTTGCCTAAGCCAATTCTAATGGTTTATTTTTTAATGTCGTAGGTCTCTATATAATTTGGTCCCGTTTTAACTAATTGTTTACCTAAAATACGCATGTTATTAACATTTTTAAAAGAAATCTATAATTTCAATCGGAATAAATAACAACATTTTTTTAAAAAAGAATAACGATAGAAATTTATCAAGCAAGAGAGTATGGAGATAAACAATGAGCCCTAGACAAAGATGTTACTTTTTTTGTTTGTCTCATATAAATTTTGTCGAAGTTAACATTAAATTAAATATTTTATCCAGTATCTAAGTATTACAAGTCCTATTTACTTAATGTAACAATCTTTCACAGTCGAAAGATATATAGCTTTATTAGATTTATAAACCTGAAACATTTCACTTGCGTTCATTGTATGGCTTATTGCCAAATGTTTCTACTTGTACTGTTACATTTCAAGAAGCGGCTTATCTTATCAAGTATGCCATTTATTTAAGTTTAAGTTATTTGGGTAGGTACGTGTATCTTTTACGTTGTACTATTACTTGTGCAAACAGCAATAAATTATTAGTGTATGTAGTGTTTTTTTTTTATACAACTTAGAATGGCAAACAAGCTGACGGCCCACCTGATGGAAAGTGATAACCGTCGCCTATAGACATGAGCAGTACCATGGACATAACAGAGTATACTGTTTCGCCCATGATACCCCCATGCGTTGCCATTCCTGAGGACTCAGGTGTTATTCCTCTGTACCCTGTAAATTCACGCCCTTCAAACCGAAACACAGCCATGCAAACATGACTGCTTCACGGTTGAAACATGAATAGGATAGAGGTACCCAAGCAATCGACTTTTATACAAGGTCTCCCTCTGGTAATTTTACTTTTAAATGAAAGATACTGCAGTCGTAACCCTGCCTGCGCTTTTGGTATGCACTGGCTAGGTAGGTTCTTTGTTTTTTTTAGTGGGTGAAAATGGATAGGTGTCGGTTATACATAGCGATAGCGCGGGCGGCGAAGCACCAGTGAGAGGTGATAAGTGAGGATGAAGTCAGGTTAGTTGGCCCATCGTGACGAATTTCACAAGAATAACAACAATAGTTTCCAGAGGGTACCACGAGAAGGTCGACCTTCCTTTTCTCCCGGGTGTCCTTGGTAGGTTGATACACTGTATAAGGGATGATAAACGAGGATGAGTGCATGTTAGAGTCACGCCCATCGTGACCATTCGTGAGTGGATCAGTCCAAATAAATTATCAATGGGACGTTAATGCCCATTGTATACCGTGTGATCCGGGCATAGAATGGGCCACCTCTTACTTTCCCGTGGATGTCGTAAGAGGCGACTAAAAGAACTTTATGAATTATATTCTTATAACATCACTAAAGTCTACCTGCGGAAGCCAACCTGTATGCCAAGCATGGCAACTACTGGCAAAACAAAGCATTTCTGAATGACATCATAACCTTCAAAAAAAGAGCATATTCCTTTTTAAAAGGCTGGCAGCACACCTGCAATGCCGTTAACGTTGTGGGTGATCATAGCCAGCGGTAGGCACTTACCATCAGGTGAGCCGCATGTTCGTTTGCCCCCTGTGTTGTAAAAAAAAACTCCAAGGGGAGACCTATGTTCAGCTGTATATAATTAAGGGCCAATACAATAATAATAATAATAAAAAGAAACGTATTAAATATTCTGGTTCTTTTTTAGTTCGATATCTACTTGTTTTGTATTATCTAAAATTTTAACTTAGTTCTCTTAGTTAGGAAAATGTAATATTCTGAAATAAAGATATTATCACTTTTAGGTGCATCAACAAAAGGAGGTCCAAAGACTCCTGTCAAGCCTTCAGCACAGAAGGGCGCTGCGAAAACAGCGCCTCCTAAACAGGCGGCAGCGGCGGCTGCGGTCAAAACTCCACAGGGGAAGAAGAAGAAGGGTCACAAACATCAGCAGTATGAACTCATTGTCACCATAAATTTGGTAAGATTTCTCGTAAAAAAAACAGTAGTTTTAGAGAAAATTTATTTGAAAAAATCTATTAGTATAAAGATAAGAAAAATCATGATTTGGGAGTCTATGTATATATCAATACTATGGAATGATATACATATACGGAATGATATATATATATATGTATATATTTATTTATTTATTTTTATGTATATTTGGATTTATATTATTTATTTGTATAGATCAATAATGATAATGATGTGATCATCATCATTAAATGGGTGTTTATACAGAAAAACAATATGGCAGAGCAACGTTTGCCGGGTCAGCTAGTTTCTTATCATTAGTGTTTATGTGTTATTAAGTGGTGCAATAAAGTTAATTCACGAACTTACTAGGAATCAATCACGATGGTATCCCGGGGGTGGATTATACCAACTCTAGGTCCACCATACTTTGCGCCATCGTGATTAATTTTGTTTTACGATAGGCTAATTGACTTGTTTTCATCCTCAGCCATCGTGTCTCACTGGCGCCTTGCCAGCACATACTGATAGCATTATCATTCCATTTTCACCCATAAAAAAAACATACTTTGTGGCGATTGATTCAAATTTATGATCGTCACTAAGTTACGACGCATAATCGCTAGAAAATATCTCCAGACAATAAATTTAGCTTATAAAGGAAATTTTAAAAGAAAAAAGTTAAAAGGAAAGTAGCAATGCACACCAGTATTGGAATCACCAATGAAAGTACTCCAACCTAAACCATTACCCTTAATCCTGGATTTTCCTTGTTCAGAACGTCATCAAATAAGAATTGCTCATCTTTTACATTTTAATCAAATCTAATAGAAATATCTTTACAAGGCGGCTGAGGCGCGCTCGTTTTATAAAATCGGATACAGTAACAAAGTACCTCGTAAAACAAAACCGGCTTAGGGAAAAGTCCTCGTCGGTGTACGTTTGTATCTCTTTCTAACACATTTAACGTTATATTCCCATCTCGTTTTGACACATCAATCCTTATAGCTATTTGGAAAAGCGTAATCTGTCCATTGATTGGATTATCGAACAACTACTTCAAAGGAGCACCGTTTGATTCCACTGATCTCTTACTTTTCACGTGTAATTCAATTTATGTGCTCCGATTTGATTTTGTTTGGTAAACATTATTCTGTACTGCATACTAATTGAAAAGCCGATAATTATATTTGTCAGTAGTTGTTTACTTTGTACATAATTGGATGAGAAAATCGACTACAATGATAGTTACCTACTGGTGTTACAAATGCGAAAGTTAGTATAGATTGATGTTTGCAATTCTTTCACGCAAAAACTACTGTACAGATTCGAATGAAATTTGTTATACGGTTGAGTTATATCCTAAATTAGAGTATATAATATAGATTTACGTGAGAAAGCCACGGGATAAAGCCAGTAATAAATACAAGGTGAATTCCCAAAATATCGACTATTAAATCTATCAAACTATTTTTTCAAGTCTTTAATGGTTATTATTTATTTTTCATCCATAATTGTTCAATTATCTCTTGAATCAACAAATTCGGCTCTAACTATGTACTACTTTAAAGTTAATATCTATTTAACACATGTCGTAACATATGTATCATTGTGTTAATATCTATAATATTATTCAGTATGATATTCGGTCGGTTCAAAGGCGACCCATGAGAAAAGTCGACCATCCCAAGCTTGCAAGTGGTATGTGGAAGGCGAGACGTTGCCTCCTTATTCTACCGCTTGTGTTCTGAGATTGTGTTCTGAGAAATTGTTTAAATGGATGCCCACAGCCTTTTATCATCGCACCGTTCACCATCGACAGGGATTTCATCCTTACACGCTTGCAACTGAATGGTCACGTACAGTGCGGTTTCAAGGGAATTTCCTCCCGCGAATACTTCTGAGTATGAGTCCCTGCAGAAGTTTTTTCTAGAGTTTACAGTAAGGGGGTTTTTAAAAAGGGTTATTAAGGTTTCTTCAGGACCGGCAACGCGTACATGACACTCCTAGTGCTCCAGTCATCCATAGAGTACAATAACCGTTCACCATCAGACGGGCTGTATGCTTGACTGCCACCTTCGTGGTATAAAAGAGAGGGATTACCAGAGGGAGACTTTGTACAAAAGTCGATTGCTTGGGTACCTCTGTCCCATTCGTGTTTCAACCGTGAAGCAGTTGTGTTTGCATGGCTGTGTTTCGGTTTGAAGGGTGGGATATGGCGTGAATTTACTGGGTACAGAGGAATAACACCTGAGTCCTCAGGAATGGCAACGCATGGGGGTATCATGGGCGAAACAGTATACTCTGTTATGTCCATGGTACTGCTCATGTCTATAGGCGACGGTTACCACTTTCCATCAGGTGGGCCGTCAGCTTGTTTGCCATTCTAAGTTCTATAAAAAAAAAAAAAAAAAAAAAAAAAAAAAAAAATAGATATTTATTATTATGTCAATTTATATTAATAGATTTTTTTTGTATAATGTTTTTAACTAATGGTTAGTTAATAGACAATGTCATATGGCATTAAGCTCGCCATTTGTATAAATGGGGGTATCATGGGCGAAACAGTGTACTCTGTTATGCCCATGGTACTGATCATGTCTATAGGCGATGGTTACCACTTTCCATCAGGTGGGTCGTCAGCTTGTTTGCCATTCTAAGTTGTATAAAAAAAAAGAATTTATTGTGCGATAAAGAATAAATAAAACTAAATTAACATTTTTTTTAGAACTAACTTTTAGTTAAATGTATTAGACATGCCTTCAACTTTAAAGATTAACTTTGGATCTTGTATTTGCTAATTGGCGAATGTAGAAATTAACATAAAGCTCGAACTCTCTTCGATTCACTTCGACTTTCACGTATTTAGTTGGACGAGTTCTACAGAGGGAGACTTTGTACAAAAGTCGATTGCTTGGGTACCTCTGTCACATTCGTATTTCAACCGTGAAGCAGCTGTGTTTGCATGGCTGTGGTTCGGTTTGAAGGGTGGGATATGGCGTGAATTTACTGGGTACAGAGGAATAACACCTGATTCCTCAGGAATGGCAACGCATGGAAGGTATCGTGGGCGAAACAGTATACTCTGTTATGTCCACGGTACTGCTCATGTCTATAGGCAACGATTACCACTTTCCATCAGGTGGACCGTCAGCTTGTTTGCCATTCTAAGTTGTATATAAAAAAAAAAATATTTTCAGCGACATCCAATAGAAGATATTAAGTATGTGTAAACGTTATTCCTTTACCTTTTTTCTTCTTTCTAAGATAAAATAATATCTCTATAATTTGTGACAGAAAGAAAAATAAAAACACAAGTTAATAAGAGCAGTTAACTGTCCGCTGCTGAATATAGGTTTCCCCTTTGGGAGATTTCACCAGTAGTTGCCAGGCAGATTAGCAACTGCAGTCAGGTTTTGGTATTGTTTTAAGAGGGACGTTACCTTCGTTCCGTCGACCATTAATTTTCCTTAGTCCATTCTATGTCACAGGGCTAAGAAAGTAGAGTAGTAAGAAGAGATTTTTTTTATTAATGATAAAATAAAATCCAAATAATAATAGAGGATTCTATGTCTGTATGTTTCGTAATTCTATTACGCGATTTAAGGCGATTACGTTGAATCACGTCAAAATTAAATTGGACAATTTTTTTTTATGGGTAAAAATGGTATGGTAACCCCGCCTGCGCTAAGGGGATACGCTGGCGGAGCACCAGTGAAGGGTGATAGATGAGAATGAAAACAGGCCAGTTAGCCCATCATGATGAATTTATCAGGAATTAACCATGATAGTTTCCAGAGAGAACCTCGAGGAGGTCCACCTGGTTGGGTATATTGCTAGCTAATAGGATTCTCAGTCTCCATTACTAACAATCCCTTTCCCCCCTAACCAAGAGATTAATTTGGACTATCATCAATGCAATCAAGAGGGTTTATTCCCGTATTGATTACATATTAATTATGTGGAGATTGCATCTTTCTTTTGCCTTAGTGGTTTAAAAAAATCTGCTTGTTGCGAAGTCTAATTGTAGACACGATATTCCACGTTCTAAATTCGAATATTTTTAATCTAATGTCTAAGAAAGAGGTTTAATGCATAAAATATATTTTATCCTAATTAATGCGGGTAAAATCATGGAATACTAATTAGTTTTATTATTTTGGAATGAGTAACAAATGCAGTATACAATAAAAAAATATAAACTTGAAAAAGTAGTAAAAAATATTATTTTATTTGAAAAAGGCTAACATTTAACACGCGAAAACTTAATAAACATAATTAATTACAGCTGCATTAGTTAAAAATGTGAGTTCTTTTAACAGGTAGTTGGATTAAGTTTTATAATTGCTGTTGTGGTACGCAGTAGGCTCTACGTATGTTGTTATCGTGACGACCTTGGTGGTGTGACGGTATAATATACTGCCTCGCCTTCCGATAGTTAAAGATACTTCGTGCACCCCGAAAAAATAATATTATACTATTAAATTCTCATTGTAATTTTTTATGTTTTTGGTGCAACAAATAAACATTTCAACACTACGTCTCTTATTCATAACTAGCTGTTGCCCGCGATTTCGTCCGCGTATCTGTCGTTTTTTTTTTGTAAAATAAATAGCCTATGTCCTTCCTCACAGTTCAGTGGTTTTGATGTAACAAACACATTTCCCTTCACTGCTCTGCTCCTATTGATCGTAGCGTGATGAAAAGTATACTATAACCTGCCCAGGAGTATGAAGAATAATTGTACCAAGTTTCGTTAAAATCCGTCGAATAGTTTTTGTTTCTATAACGAACATACACAGAGACAGACAGACAGACAAAAATTTTACTGATTGCATTTTTGGCATCAGCATCGATCACTAATCATCCCCTGATAGTTATTTTGTAAATATATTTCATGTACAGAATTGACCTCTCTACAGATTTATTATAAGTATAGAAAACCTACAAATCAATTTTAACTATTGCACTCTTCTGTTACTTTCTTTCAAATTAGGAATTTAA